GTCACCATTAACACTATTTTTCTAGATGGTATATTTATAGGTAATTTGTCCCCTTTAAACCCACTATTATTCTAATGGGGGTATTTACTGCCCACCTTTAACACAAATTTATTTAGATAGTTATTTACTAGGAAAGTGTCCCCAAATTAACACTATGAGTCTAGAGGGGTGATTTACGTCACCATTAACACTATTATTTTTGGAGGGAATTTTTACTAGGAAAGTGTCACCTTTAACACTATTATTCTAGATATTAAAAAATTTACTAGGAAAGTGTCCCCATTAACACTATTATTCTAGTTGGTATATTTACTAGGTAAGTGCCCACCTTTAACACTTATTTTAGATGGTATTTTTTATAGGTCACCATTAACACTATTATTCTAGATGACATATTTACTAGGAAAGTTTTCACCTTTAAACACTTTTTATTCAAGATGGTTTTTTTTAAACTAGGTAAGTGCCCACCATTAACCTATTATTCTTGAGGTATTTTTACTAGGTAAGTGTCACCTTAAAACTTTTTTCTAGATGACTTATTTATAGGAAAGGGTCCCTTTAACACTATTTTTCTAGATGAATATTTACTAGGTAAGGGGTCCCCAAATTAACATTTAAATTTTAGATGGTTTATTTATTTAGGTGTCCCCCTTAAAAAAATTTTTCCCTAAAAGGACATATTTACTATTAAGTGTCACCTTTAAACCCCAAATTAAATTCTAGATGACATTTTTATAGGTAAGTGTCACCTTTAACACTTTTTATTCTAGATGACTATTTACTAGGTAAGTGTCACCATTAACACTTATTTTAGTGGAATTTTACTGGGTTTTCCCACCTTTAAAAACATTTAAATTTTGATGGTATATTTACTAGGTTCACCATTAAAAACTTATTTTAGATGGTAAATTTCTAGGTGTCCCCATTAACCTTATTTTAAAAGGGTATATTTCCCTAGGTGTCACCTTTTAAACACTTTTTTTAGAGGTATATTTACTAGGTGTCACCATTAAAAAATATTATTCTAGATGACATATATTACAACCTAGGTTTTCCCAAATGGCCTTTTTTACCCCAGGGGTAATGGGAGAAAAACCCCCATAAAAATTTTAGCTTAAATTTTAACCCTTTCACCAATTTTAACAGCAATATGTCCCACTATGTACAGTGAAAAATATAGTGCACTCCACGGTAAGCAAGGCAGAAAAAAGAAGCCACAAGATAGCAGACCGTGCTTCAACCAGCTCTAGAAATGGGAATGACAAGGGCAGAACAGGAGGGGCGGTATCCCCATAACCTTTTTGGGGATTTTCAATTTCCCCCCTTCTTTTTGGCTAGAAAACCCGGTCACTATTTTAAAATGGGGCCCCATCAAACAACTCTTAGCAACCCGGTTCGCTGGGTTTGGGGGGGATAGGGCCCGTAAATGAAAGGGGGTGGTTTCCCTGCGCCGAAAAAGGTTTCGTACTCTTTGCATCCACACCCCCACCCCCCAGAAGGCTCAGGATTAGGCTGCCCCCTCCCCGTGGTAACCGTGCCGCCATGGCCCCATAAAAATGGGGCCGCCCCATCCTCTTTCCCCCATCCAAAATCCCTTTGTAAGCTTTAGCTTTCCTAGTGCCTGAAAGCCAAAACCCCAAAATCAGAGTGAGGGCAGCAGTCAGTAAGCCAAAATAGGTCCCAAAAACAAGCGGACGGGAGGCCCATCCCCTCACTAAAAAAAAAAAACCCCCCATCAGGGGATAAAAAAAAAAAAAGCTTTTAAAGGGGGGGTTTCCACAAATCATCCCCAAACCCAAATAAAATATTTAAAAATAGGGCTCCCTTTACAAAGATTGCCAAAACCCTTTTTTTTTGCCGGCAAGTAACGAATTTTTAAGTTATAGGGGTGCAGCTGACGTCCAACGCAAACCTTGTGGGTTTGATTTTTCATGGCTTGGAGATAGACTTTAAGGGTTGTGAAAACCCCGTAGACGTGACCACCTTTCGATGTCTTGGGGCCCCCAAAAAAAAGAAAATTTCTCCAAAACCATTAAACCCCCCGCGAGGGTTCTTTTTCAATGGTAGAGTAAGACTGATGTGGCTGGGAAAAATTAGCTGAAAAAATATGCTACAGGGGCAACTCCTTTCTCTTTCCCTATCAAAAATTTTTCCCCTTTGGGAAAGCTCTTGTTCCCCAGTTTTTCTCAAGTTTGGGTTTTTGCCATGAAGGGCCAACGACGCGATTCAACCCCGAGAAACCCATGGCCTTTAAATGACCATTTTGCTTTCCCTAGGTGTATCATCTTTCCCCCTGCGAGAACATAAATAGGGGGTTTTTTCCCCAGCTCCCTAAAGGGAGGGGGTTTTTAAGTGCCCCTTTTTCTTTAATAAGTATGTTTACAAAAAGGGGAACGCATTTTCCCCAGCGTAAAAAAGTGCGTTTATTTGGGGGAAAGCCAATGGAACGACAAATTTTCCCCAAAAACGCTGTAAAAGACAATTTAGGTAAAGGTTTTTCAAAGTATATGCCCACACCCGGCGTTGACTCGTCTAGGGGGCATAAGTTATTCGCTATGCACAGTACGAATACCCCAACGTAACACGTTAATTTGCAGAACACGCTTAGCTATGCACAGTACGATTGCAGAATACGCATACAAGCAAAGCCGACTGCACACAAGATTGACCGTAGCGAAGCGAGCACACTGAACAAGCTAGTAGCGAGCTGTTGAACGATCACACAATAGCAAGGCTGATCATAAGCAACTGACACGCAAAATTTGTAAAGCGAAGCGAAACAGCAAGCTACACAATGTTCCTGCTACAAGCTTCACCCTAAGCTCAACCGTTTCTCTAAGTCCAGCTCTCGGACAGGCTACCCATATTACAACCTAGGATTTCAAATGGCCTGTTATCCCAGGTGTAATGGGAGCAAATAAACACAGTAGAAAAAAGTTTAGACTTATATTATCCTTCACCAATTATAACAGCAATATGTACACTATGTACAGTGATAAATATAGTGCACTCCACGGTAAGCAAGGCAGAAATAGAAGCCACAAGATAGCAGACCGTGCTTCAACCAGCTCTAGAGTGGGAATGACAAGGGCAGACAGGAGAGCGGTATCCACATAACCTCTGCGATTGTCAATCCCACCTTCTTATTGGCTAGAACCTGGTCACTAGTTGAACGATGGGGCCCCATCATCAACTCTTAGCAACCTGGTTCGCTGGTTGGGGGAGATAGCCTGTAAATGAGGGTGTGTCCATGCGCCGAATAAAGGTTACGTACTCTTTGCATGCCACAACATATTTACTAGGTAAGTGTCACCATTAACACTATTATTCTAGATGACATATTTACTAGGTAAGTGTCACCATTAACACTTATTTTAGATGGTATATTTACTAGGTGTCACCATTAACACTGTTTTAATGTTTCTAGATGGCATATTTACTAAGTAAATGACACTATTTTATAATTTTAGGTACCTGCTAATATTTTTGCTACATTATTTTAATAACATCTTTGGAATGTTTCTTCACACTGACCTCAAACTTAAATACTTACCTTGGTTCTTACCTTAAAACTTTGTGCTGAAATTAGACAGTGTAGCCACCCACTGGCCATTCTGAAAGTCTAAATCTAAAGGGAGAAGAATGCTGCACTCACCTCTTACTTACATTAGCTACTTAAGTATAAATAAATAATTTTTCTAGCATAAATTTTTACTGCCTGCCTGACTCATGTATGCCCTGCCTTCAGCTATTGTGCCATTGTTTACAAGCCAGGGCGGATGGTTCCACGCATACATGCGATACATTTTGTATTATTCCATTGTTTTTAGTGCTTGTAACTGCTAAATAAGTCACCATAGGCCCAAAGAAAGCTTCTAGTGTCAGCCCTGCAGTAACAAGGGTGAGGAATACTATTGAAATACTATTGCACCACCGTCAGCTGCTGCTGCACCACCATCAGCTGTTGCTGCACCACTGTCAGCTGTTGCTGCACTACCGTCAGCTGCTGCTGCACCACCGTCAGCTGTACTACTCGAAGATGTGGAGAGAGTGTTGTTGGTGTGGCTTAACGAGAAACAATTACCGAGAAACAATTAACCCCAGGGGGTTAGCCACCCAGGATAACCCAAGAAAGTCAGTGCGTCATCGAGGACTGTGTAACTTACTTCCATTGGGGTCCTTAATCTTGTCCCCCAGGTTGCGACCCACACCAGACAACTAACACTCAGGTGAACAGGAAAAAATGCCTGGAACTAGTGCTCTTATTGGTGAATTTAAGGCCAGCTAAGGTTGGTTTGAGTGATTTAAGAATCATAGTGGCATACACAGTGTGATAAGACATGGTGAAGCTAAAAAATTCCAACCCCAAGTGTTCAGTTGTGACAAAACAGACCTGTTCTGGAAGAAAGTGCCAAACAGGACCTACATTACTCAGGAGGAAAAGGCACTCCCAGGACACAAGCCTGGTGAAAGACAGGCTAACTCTCATGTTTTGTTGTAATGCTAATGGGGATTGCAAAGTGAAGCCTTTACTCATGTATCACTCTGAAAATCCCAGAGTGTTCAAGATAAACAGTCTCATCATTCAACAATACTCTTCAATAAAGGTAAGTGTCTTTTTTAGAAATTTATTTATGTATTTATTGTGTATTCTCCTTTTGTTTTCTTTGTAGGGAAATGTATATTTATGTAAAAAAAATTATTTTTTTTTTTAATACTTTTGGCTGTCTGGAACGGATTAATTGGATTTCCATTATTTCTTATGGGGAAAATTAATTTGGCTAACAATAAATTCGGCTAAGGACAAACTCTCTGGAACGAATTAAAATCGTTGGTCGAGGGTCCACTGTAGTTAGTGTGTATAAGGCAGTGTATCTTGTACAATGCCTTTATACAGTAGCCCTCACTTTATTGTCCATAACACAGCATGTTTGGATGTATAGATTGATTGATTGATGCTGTATTTATATAAATTCATTAATGACTGTTTGTTCCCCTAGACACTAGCCCGAAGAGAACGTTACAAGATTAATACATACGTTACACATCCATGGGTGTTTCGTGACTCTGAGACATCATCTGCTCTTGTGGTCAACTCCGAGGAAGCCTTTTATCCTAAGGTATATTAAAACCTCAGCCTCTTTTATCTGTTTTTCTGTTTACAGCATCCTGTGTCATAGGACAGTGCACGCATTCTAATTTCTTGCATTTTGATCTGTTTAAAGTTCTAGCTCTTTTGGTATATTGTTTTATAAAGTAGCTAATTTTTTAATGTTACTTTTTTTTATATATGTATAAAACACACTGGCCACTCCCACTTAGGCAGGGTAACCTGAAAAAGAAAAAAACACTTTCAGAAGGTTTTTCTTATTACATTTAGTAATTTATAGAAAGAGAAGAGGTTACTAGCCCCTCGCTCCTGGCATTTTAGTCGCCTCTCTCTTTTATTTAATTAGTTCATTGTTATGCCTCCCTATCTCACCTCATTTAGTTCATCCTCTATCATATTTGTGTTGAACATCAGTACCAATCAATTTTTTTTTTTTTTTATATAAAATTTATGACTTTTTCTCTGGGCGACTTGATGTTATGCAGTATTCATCTATTTTTGCAACATTCTAGTGAGGTTAGGTTAAGTTGTTGGTAAATGTAAGGTTTTTCCCTTTAAACTAAAATACACTTTCTGTTTTTGTTGTTTATATTTTAAAGTGAATTTCATCGGTGACTGTTTAAATTTATTAATGCAACTTTTATTTAGTTAGGCAAAGTTGGTAAATTGCTTTTTGTTCTTTTGACAGTGCTATTTATTTTTGTATACAATAATTTCAGCCTGCATTACAACCAGGACAACAAGTGTATGGTCCAGCAAGTCCCCCGCTACATCATAGCCAACATTTGCATACCTCTTTTACAGCCTCAAGGATAGAGCAGCACAGGTGCTTTAAACTGATTTTCTTTATTAATTATAATTCATAATTTGAAAAGTCTTTTTCTTTCTAATTTCCCCTTTTTTTGTTGACCACACTCCCCAGCTTGTCATACATTATCCAGGCATGTTATTAATAAATTTAAACAAGTGGGGTAAAATTTTTGGCTTCATAGTGGATCTCCACCACTGGTTGTTTATACAGTTTTTCCTGTCATTACCAAGCATTTTAAAATCTTAAACAAAAGACCCGGGCTGCCTTTAATTAGGAAGCACTGTATGACCCTTATGGGTTTTAGTGCTCAGTTATGATTTATAATAATTCCCTCATTTGAGTTTGGTAATCAGATTACAGGAGGGCCCCCCTTTGTATGGCTCCCTTTGATTCCTGGGCCCATGTGGTAAGCTAAAATCGCCAGCAGGTGGAAAAGAGCGGTTTTTTCATTATCAAATTTTGGGTTTAAAAAATTTCCCGTAACACGTTTACACTATCATGTATTAAGTGCTCGATATAGCTAGGCATAAAATCAGCTAAAAAATTAGAATAAATACACAGTATATGCAGTGCTTAAAATATGGTGCCGGTCATCCTTCCCTTATACAACTGTTGTACAAGCATCGAACATAATGAACAGTGACTCAGTCGAAAGCCAATGAAAACGTGGAACACCAAAAAGAGGTGCTGTATATGTAGGTCCCTCCTGTATTATAAACATGGAAGCGGTAAAACCACATGGGGGATGAGAGGTAATCTATTTTGATCCAAGGAAGAATAGCTCAAGTTCCTTGTATCAAGAACTCTTCACCAAAGCCTAGGATACACTGACACCTTCCCTGTGATGCCATCCACAGAAGTCGACTAACACCCGAGTACAGTGGACCCCCGCCTTACGATATTAATTCATTCCAGAAGTCTGTTTGGGTGCCGTTACCGAACGAATTTGTTCCCATAAGGAATATTGTAAATTAGATTAATCCGTTTCAGACCCCCAAAATACACGTACAAAAAGCACTTACAAAAAAAACACCTACATATTGTTCGAGTTGGAGCTGATCATAAGGCGGGGTCCACTGTATTTATATACTGCTAAGTGAACAGAGGCAACAGTAAAAGAATTTTGCCCAGTGTTTCCACTCATGCTGGGACAAACCCCAATCCCTTAGTTTTGAGCCAAGGGCACTTGCACTTGACCTCTTTGAAGAGAATGGATTAGTTTTCCGGCATTCTGAAGAATGTATGGGAGACGTTCAGGTTGATGGGTCACGTCATATGTAATGGATCATAATTCTGGCAAGACAACTTTGAATGAATGATTTTGAATGTATTTCCTTTGGATCACACTACCATAGTGAGAACCTACCATTGCCTGGTTAGCCAGACTTGAGTCCTGGAGGGGGATGTTGTACACTCTGAAGAGGGGTGGAAATATTGTAGTTTTTTACCCCATAGTATTCGTACCCCCTCTGGCAAGACAATGATGGAGTAAGTGGGTGGAAAGTGTTTCTTTGTTTTGGCTCACCTTGCCTCAGTGGAAGATTGCCAGTTTGTTGAAAAACAAATTTGGCATAGTGTAATTTCTTTCACTTTAAAATTTTCTAAATTTCTACAGTGTTCTGCTGCATTTGCATAACTTGTTCATCTTAATTTTACATTTTCCACAGTTTTCATTTTTTTTTTAATTTTCTATGTTCATTTCCATTTCTTAACTTATCTCCAGGATCACAAGACTTAAGGCAATATTTTTGTCCACTTTGAACCTTGAAAGTTTGGTAGTCGTGATGACCAGATTTGTAGGTTGTGCGCTTTAAAAGATTGTCACATGATACGAATTAGAAATACAGTGGTACCCCGAGTGATAAGATAAGATAAGATAAGATTTCGTTCAGATTTTTAACCCCGGAGGGTTAGCCACCCAGGATAACCCAAGAAAGTCAGTGCGTCATCGAGGACTGTCTAACTTATTTCCATTGTGGTCCTTAATCTTGTCCCCCAGGATGCAACCCACACCAGTCGACTAACACCCAGGTACCTATTTGCTGCTAGGTGAACAGGACAACAGGTGCAAGGAAACGTGTCGAAATGTTTCCACCCACCGGGAATCGAACCCGGGCCCTCCATGTGTGAAGCGGGAGCTTTAGCCACCAGGCCACCGGGCTGTTCGAGTGCCAATACCGAACGAATTTGTTCCTGTGGAAAATAATTTTCCCAAAAATTATGCTGTATATTTTTATAATGTAAATATACCTGATTAATACATTACTACTGTTCTAAAGTGCATTTTAAAGAAGAGAATCGACAGGGAAGCTCTGTGCCTGCGCTGACGAGCAGAGGGAGAGACGCCATTGTTTTTGAATGTGATACAAGCACGTTAGTGTAATGTGCATAATTTTCGTCGCTCTAGGGGTTATATTGGGCTTAAAATCTCTCAAATAGGAGCTGAAATTGTTGGAATTGCAGTCCTGCATAACGTGAGAAATCAGGTGACTGGACAGGACCCTGTAATTATATGGAAACAGGATATTACCCCAGCTAAGTTGTCTAATTTGTGTTAGAATTCTGGCCAGTAATTTCTCCATAAATTTAGGCAAGGGGGTTGGCAATATACACAGTAATCTCCAGACAAATGGGTGAGTCTTATGATTATAAATTCTCCATTACATAAATGTGTATATGTAATCATTTATTAATTTTAACATACAGTCCACATATATAGATTAATGTTTACCATAATTCCTGGTAATGTATATTTCATTTGAAATTAATATAGGTCAAGAGTGACTTGTGGAGAGATAGATTATGGTAGGTATCGAAGGGGGACATTATTTGCGACCTAGGTGTCCAAAAATTCCTACTCGTCTCTTTGTAACTTTGATAAAAAATAATTATCTTTGTTACCATTTACTGGTATGTATTTTATGAGTTACATCCAGGTAAATTTAATTTTCCACAGTTCCCATAAGGAATAATGTAAATTAGACTAGTCTGTTTCAGACCCCCAGAAATACACTTACAAACGCACTTTCACAAATACACTTATATAATTATTCGAGTTGGGAGCTGTTTGAAACTCGAGGTGCCACTGTATTTGATTATGTCTATTATTAATGCGTTATTAATTGTATTTCATTGACAGGTTGTGTGGTCTTGTCTGCACGACCCTCAAGCTGTGTTCTCCCTGGAAATTCCCAAAGTTCTTATGCTTACAATAGCTAAGTGGCCAAACTGTGGTAGTTTATACAGAGGTATGGTGATACATTTGTTTTATAACACCACTAACTAATGTATTTTAGACAGTGTTTGATGTATAAAATAGTAATTGGTTTTCAAGTTGGAGTATGTATAGCAGTGGGTTGGAGTACTGATGTGTAACCCACACAGGTTTCTTAATGTAAGCTATGAACCATAGAACAAGTGAGGTTTGAACCCAGGGCAAGTGAGTGGTAACACTCCAAGCCAGTGCATTACCCACTGGGCCAGCTAGCTACAATAACATTCATCCAACCAGGTACAGTGGCCCCCCGGTTTACGATCAGCTCCCAATGCGACCAATTATGTAAGTGTATTTATGTAAGTGCGTTTGTACGTGTATGTTAGGGGGTCTGAAATGGACTAATCTAATTCACAATATTCCTTATGGGAACAAATTCGTTCAGTAATGGCACCTGAACATACTTCTGGAATGAAATAATATCGTAAACCGGGGGTCCACTGTATATTTCTACACACCAAGTGAAATAATTATTTGGTGTTTGAGTTCCCTTTAGTGTATTGCATATCCAGAATGTCTAGAAAGAGTCTGCTTGTCACCCCTGAGAAAGGGAAACTTTAAATTTTAAACTGAAAATAAAATGAAATATAAAAATAATTTTTTTTTTTTATAGGTAACCATAACTAAGGATAAAAATGGTAGGCAAAGAAAGACTGGAGAATGTCAACCCACAAGTGTTTACCAAGGCCAGTCAGAGAGTAGAAAGCTCGACAGACTGGGATGATGAGGTTTATGACCCATTTGATGCTAGAGAAGTCTTTGATCTGGTGCGCAACATCCGAGATCCAGAACATCCACTCACTTTAGAGGAGTTGAATGTTGTAAGTTTTTTAAATGTGTATTATTCACAATTTTTTTTTTTTTTTTTTTTTTTTTTAGTAAGTCGGCCGTCTCCCACCGAGGCAGGGTGACCCAAAAAAGAAAGAAAATCCCCAAAAAGAGAATAATTTCATCATCATTCAACACTTTCACCCCACTCACACACAATCACTGTTTTTGCAGAGGCGCCCAGAACACAACAGTTTAGAAGCATATACCTATATAGATACACAACATATCCCTCCAAACTGCCAATATCCCAAACCCCTCCTTTAGAGTGCAGGCATTGTACTGTACTTCCCATTTCCAGGACTCAAGTCCGGCTATATAAAAATAATCGGTTTCCCTGAATCCCTTCACTAAATATTACCCTGCTCACACTCCAACAGATCGTCAGGTCCCAAATACCATTCGTCTCCATTCACTCCTATCTAACACGCTCATGCATGCTTGCTGGAAGTCCAAGCCCCTCGCCCACAAAACCTCCTTTACCCCCTCCCTCCAACCTTTTCGAGGACAACCCCTACCCCACCTTCCTTCCCCTACAGATTTATACACTCTCCATGTCATTCTACTTTGATCCATTCTCTCTAAATGACCAAACCACCTCAACAACCCCTCTTCAGCCCTCTGACTAATACTTTTATTAACTCCACACCTTCTCCTAATTTCCACACTCCGAATTTTCTGCATAATATTTACACCACACATTGCCCTTAGACAGGACATCTCCACTGCCTCCAACCGCTTCCTCGCTGCTGCATTCACATCCCAAGCTTCACACCCATATAAGAGTGTTGGTACTACTATATTTTCATACATTCCCTTCTTTGCCTCCATAGATAACATTTTTTGTCTCCACATATACCTCAATTTTGTTTTTAGGAACTACAGTGGTCTGAAAGTAAGACAAAGTTGCTGAATGGTTTTGTTGAGAATGTGCCCTCCTGAATATTGGCAAAAATTGAATACAGTAATTCCCCCATATCCATGGGAAATATGTTCCAAGACCTACCGTGGATAGTAGCGAAACCTTATATAAGTTGTTTTTCATTTACAGACCTACCGGTGATAAACTTTAATTGATAAATTATGAACAGTAAGTTGAGAATTAGTACTTTTTAACTGATGGGAAGCATTTCATGGTTTCTCTTAGGCTTTGTGACCATTATTAAGCAAAATTAAGTGTTACAGGCTACAGTAAATGGTGGATAACCAAACAGTGGAAACCAAACCCATGGATATGGGGTTTCTACTGTATTCCCACAATTTTGAAGCCGATTTCAAGTTACTTCCAGTCCTGGAACCAACTAAAATCATCTATATTTCAGTAGTATGTCTTCCATTCTATTGTATTATACAAAGAAACAGCCAATAAAATCATAAAAAAAATCCTAGAAAACACCTCAGAGTTGCTGCTTTAAGCCAAACACCAAGCCAGAGTTCTGCTTTTCGCATCCTGCACCACACAATGCAGGATTTTTTTTTATACTGTGCACACTCACTGTACAGACCCATTCTCTCATATCTAAGCCAAAATTTGCCACTCTCAGCTTCTCTGAATGAGCCAAGCTCAAGATGTATGCTATGTGAGGGACCCTGGCCTCAACAACGTTGATCTGAGGGATGGACAGTAAAAGGGTTAAGGGAAATTGCTCTCCGGTTAATGACACACAATATGATACTTAGCAACATGTTCCATACCTCTAAACTCTTGTGCATATCAGATGGATTTTTTTTTTTTTTTTTTGGTTATTCTAGTGATTGAATTTTACTTTTTATTGTATGATTGACTGCAATCTTTGCAAGAAATTTTATATACTACATTGGGGTGCATGAAGAGCATTTTACATTTTAGAATCTATTGGTTACACAATTACTTATTTTGTTAGTGTACTGTGGTACAGTTTTTATTGAGCAGGTGGTATATTACTGTGCATGTTCTAGCACATGTATTTGTGTAATGAATTAATAATTTATTGTTAGATTTAGTTGTGTATTAATTTTTCTCATTTGCTCTTCAATACTTAATGTTAGCTTTTGACTTTGTTATTTAAACTGTTGTGGATAGCAGAGTCTTTTGAATTATGTGGTGACGGTGTAAAGAGCCTTCATCTATAACAAGTTACTTCTCATTTTGAATAAGTGTGTAGAAAATCAGACTATAGGCAAGTATTATTTCTTTTAAACAGTGTGGCAAAAATATCATTTAGCAGTGATAGTTATGCTGTATGATTTTGTTTCACAATGGCAGCAGTGAATTATTAAAAGTCTGATTTCAAAGTTTATATACATTATTACATGCAGGTGGAAGAGTGTCAGTGTGATGTGAACGATGCCGAGAATTCAGTGATGCTGCACTTCACTCCCACCATCCCTCACTGCAGCATGGCTTCCCTTATTGGTCTTAGCATCCGTCTTAAACTCTTACAGACTCTACCAACCAGGTATGACTGTAGTGTTATTTACTAATTTTAACCAGCTTGTTTTTATGATTTTTTTTAATGTGACTTGCAAAACCTTTCCTTGATACTATAGTACTGAAGCATTCTCAGATCAGAGTCTAGCACTGGTGATGAAAGGCAGCATATATTGTTTTTGTGGCCCACTATTGGCTGACTACCTCAATATGTTCCTTGATACTGTCTTGCTGTACTCCACCATGGAGCTGCTACCACTGAACAAGTCATCTTATATTAAAGGCGCAGCAGGGTTTTATTTCTGGAATAAACTAGCAACAAGTCTAATAATCTAAATTTTTAATCACTTATTATAATTATTATATTACATTCATTGGTGAGTACTGAATATATCTAAGTCTTACAGCTCCTGGGGGAGTGGGAGACAATCAGGTTTGATCCAGGGAAAAGGAGGATAGGTCCAGTTTCTTGGATCGAGAGCCGTCTCACCATTGTCAATGCACCTTGTGTGGGGAAGGGAGTTTGTTATCTTTTTCACCATTATTTTGTACCCTCCTTGGATCAAACCTTATTGTTTCCCATTTCCCCAGGCCCAGCATGATCCCTATGAGTTAAGTGCTTTCTAGTACATAATAATACTCTCCATGGGGAAGTGGAAAAGAATTCTTCCTCCATAAGTCATTTGTGTTGTAAGAGGCGACTAAAATACCGAGAGCAAGGGACTAGTAACCTCTTCTCCTGTATACATAATATGTTGGTTATAACTATGACCATAATTTTTAAAGGGGTGGATCAGTAAGCCAGCAGAAGGCCTTGGTAAGATGACCAAAAGCTCCAATGGCGGGTCATCATTTGACTAAGACCTGAGTCAGGAAACACTTGTCCTGTTTCCTGACGAACCTTACCGAACCTGTATACATTACTAAATGTAAAAAGAATTAACCCTTTGAGTGTTGTAACTCCAAATCCTGAGGTGTCTCTTGGTGTTTAAAATTTTTCAAAAAAAAAATTTCAAAAAAAAAAAAAAAAAAATATTTTTTCTTATGAAATGATAGAGAATCTTTTCCCGATGGTAATAACACCAAAAGAATGAAATTTGATGGAAAACGTATGGAATTACGCTTTCGCGAAGTTAGCGACCTTGGCGATATTTACGAATTGGTAATTTCGCCCACTTTGAGCCCTATTTTTGGCTAATTCCATTGTTCCAGTCGACCAAACTCATAGCTATTTCTTTAGAACTCCATTTGTTCTATCGATTGAGTAAAAAAACTGCCCATTTACCGAATTCAACTACCCAATAATGTGGTCAGAAATTTGCAATTTGGCCAATTTCACGCAAATTAAAAAAATATGCCAATTTCAAAATAGGGTCCAGAATGAACAATGCAGACATTCCTGGTTTTAAAATAACATTTTCTTTGTCATCAGTCATGTCTCCAGGCCCCTCTGATATTACTCTTACTTTCTATTTTGAATTTTTATTCAAACAAAAAATAGAAGATTTACTGTTATGCAGACTACTGCTATATTGTAATAATTGTATAAATAATGTCAACCCATTCATGACTGCATATTAGAATGGCTAGTTGGACATTTATTGGACAATGACATCATTTGTTTACTTTTGAACACCAGCAAAAATCAAACATTTCCCGTACTTTGAGCTCCATTACAAGGTTCTTTTTATAGTAAAACCAATCAAAATCACCGCTATTTCTGTAATATGTTTTCCAGTCTGTCAAATAAGACCAAGAAAATGAGAATACATCCATATATACTATACGAAAATACACCACAAAGTTGGTGTTTTAATCCAAAAACACGGTCAGTTTTTTTTTCTCATCATGCACTGCGTGCTGCAGGATTTTTTATATGGTGCACACTGACCACACAGACCCATTCTCTCACATGTGGGCCTACCAGCTTTCTCCTGCTTGATTTGAAGGCGCTAGAATTTTTGAGTAGTATACATACATCAGACACGGTGGCTTGTAAGACGTATATATACGACCGAAACAGTCAAAGGGTTAAAACTTTACTTCACTTCTTTTTCAGGTCATCCTGCCTCGGCGAGAGGCAGGGTCACCCTACCAAGGTAGGGTGACCTGAAAAAGAAGAAACACTTTTAGCATCATTCATTCAATCACTGTCTTACCAGAAGTGTACTGACATCCCAGTTCAGATGCCCCACCCCTCCTTCAGAGTGCAGGCACTATACAGTACTTTCTACCTCCAGGACTTTAAGTCCAGCTAACTGGTTTCTCTGAATTTGTCATATTTATCTGGTAAACATTGATCAGAAGTGGATGTTTTAAATTTTTATGTTAAGTTCGTATCTGTCCTCAGATATAGTCTTAAGTGTCAACTATTTCAACTTTTTAAAGTCCTGTTCCTGGGATTATTATTATAATCAAGGGGGAAGCGCTAAACCCGGAGGATTATACAGCGCCTGGGGGTGGGGGGGTGGAAGGCATTCAGGCTTAATTCGGGGAACTGGAGCACAGATCCAATTCCCTAAATCAAGAGCCCCTCACAAACATCAAAGAACGTTCCTTGAGGGGCCTGTTCTTGGGAATGATGCATAAGAGAACACAGATTCAGACAACATTGAAGTAGTTAAGAGGATTTAAACCTCAGTCAGTTAAATATAAATACCAGGGGGGGGGGGGGGGGGGGGGTTGGTGCTGTTGTACTTCTTTCTAAGTGTTTTTATGTCTTTCATCTCTGCAGGTTTAAAGTTGATGTACGCATCTCCCCTGGGACTCATGCCTCTGAGCATGCCATAAACAAGCAACTGAATGACAAGGAACGTGTGGCTGCTGCACTAGAAAATCCTCATCTTTTGGAAGTTATTAACAAGTGCCTGAATCCCAGAGGTCAAAAGTAGAGAGATAAATCAAAGCTGCCTTAGAGGGAATTTTTTTTAGCAAGACTATCAAGTAAGCATTGATTGAAGCATCTTGCTTCAGTCAGTGGGTTGATTTTGGACCTATAACTGAGTGGTGGTGTGAAGATGGTACTGTATACACTTTTTTGGCTGGTTATTAATTAAATTTTGTAATTGTTCCATTAAGGGACACTTGAGTTCTCCTGTCTTAAGAGACAGGGAAACTCACGTGCCCATTAAACCCTAAATGATTTAATGATGATGCCAATATTATTATTATATTTATTACTTATAAGGTCGTACAAGTTTAGTGCTTCTTTTGTGAAGTAATAATATAGGGCACACAGTGCCGACTTGTTGAAAAAAAAAAAAAAAAAAAAGAAGAGGGTAACTACTGTATCTTGGATCAGGAGATTTTTGGCATCAAGGTAATCCCTTATGGGGGTCGATTTTGAATAATGGGATGTAATAGTTGCAGTGCAGCAGAGAATAACCCTCACAAGTCAAGTGGTTTACTGTCTTTCAGATGGGGAGCTCCGATGCTGTTGAAGGACTTCGATCTGATTAATTTAAGCTACCATCCGCTTCCTCAGATCAAACTTGATTACCTCCGATTCACCAGGTGTTGAGACCCCTGTGGCTTTAGTGCTTTCTACATAATTATAATATTAATTAACTTGAATATTATTCATACATATTGAATATTATTTTAATTAAACATCTTAGAGGAAGATACCAATTGAACCAAATGGGTCATACAGGTGTTTCTTAAATATAGATTTATACAGTATATCACTGGTGCTGAGCGAGGGGCTTGTAACCCCTTCTCCTGTATACATTGCCAAAATTAAGAAGATAATTTTTTTTTTTTTTTTTTTTTTTTTTGGTGGGATACGGCCAGTTTGTTGAAAGATCACTGATGCTGTATGACTCATGTGGTTTTAGTTTTTAATATGCAGTACTGTAATAATGTCAAATGTAGCGGCTAAATATTGTTGTATGAAATTGTAAATGAACATTTCTCAGTGGGAAATTAATGACAACATTGAGACAGAAACAAGAGTGATAGATTGTCTGTACACTTTGACCTTTGACTGAGGTACTTTTTAGCAGGTAAATGAGTATGAGTGGGAAACACATATTGGTGAAAAAAGATGGATAGGTCATGTGAACCTGTCAAAATAAAGGAAATTAAGGTTCTGTGGATTTGAAGTAGTTTTTGTTGATTTTGCAGAGGTCTTGATTGAGTGAACCAGTCTGGGCACTAGATTTCTTTTTCTTTGTCTAATTTGTTTGGGCTACGGGTTCTCATGACCCTGAAATAAAGGCTGGAGACAGTTTCCTTTGACTTGAGTACTGACTCAACAAATATACATATAGTATACTATAGTAGACAGTGTGTATGTTCTCTGTGTACAGTAAACCAAATAGCCAACAACTTGAATTTGCTGTATTTAAAAAACACACACTTGGCCACTGTTTTATTTCAAAAAGTAAAAATTTGAGTCTCACTAGCTGGGAAGCAAGCATAATCTTTCACAAAATGGAATGCACTACTGACCTTTAATATTTCTAAATGGAAACTGGAGATTTTTAAATAGGTTTTAAAAAAATTCCTGCACTACATTAAAAATTTAATTTCATTGTGTAAACTATTACTACTGCCAGCCTAGTGTCTCAGCCCCAAGATACCTGAGTCTTTACTCTGAGTAGTTCAGGATTGCTCACATGGTGTGGGTCAACCCCTACCAATTTCCTTTATGAAAGATTCACGCTATTGACTCTCCTCTTTTTCCTCTTGTTTGATATGCTTCATTCTCATAATTGTGCAGCTGCTGAATAGGACCTTGGATAGAGGTCAAAATACACACAGACAGCTTATTGCTCATGGTTGTCACCACATTGGTATATGCAGAAACCTACTTCACGACATAAAATAGTACTGGAACCTCGGTATTTGAACAGCTCCGTACTTGAACAATTTGCTGTTCGAATATTTTGTTCAGAAAACAAATCGCTTGGTAGTTGACCGTTTGCTCTGCACTCGACCAAACAAACACAACGTGCCAGAACTTTACTGTAAACTAATTTGTGTTTCTTTGCATTTTTTGGTGTTTTTTATATTGGACTGTGAGCAGGGTAATATTTAGTGAAGGGATTCAGGGAAACCGGTTATTTTCATATAGTCGGACTTGAGTCCTGGAAATGGGAAGTACAATGCCTGCACTTTAAAGGAGGGGTTTGGGATATTGGCAGTTTGGAGGGATATGTTGTGTATCTTTATACGTATATGCTTCTAAACTGTTGTATTCTGAGCACCTCTGCAAAAGCAGTGATAATGTGTGAGTGTGGTGAAAGTGTTGAATGATGAAAGTATTTTCTTTTTGGGGATTTTCTTTCTTGTTTTTGGGTCACCCTGCCTCGGTGGGAAACGGCCGACTTGTTAAAAAAAAAAAAAAAAAAAAAAGTCACCATGGGGCCTAAGAGGGTTAGTGATAATAGCCAACCAAAAAGAAAATTGCTTGGGAAAAATTTGTTCTGTACTTTAACAGATTGATACTTGAACAGCCTTCTGGAACCAATTAAGTTCAAGTACCACGGTTCCACTGTAAAAGGTGTTTATATTTTCATCTGCTGCAAAGGACTCGGAGATTGACATAAACAACTTTATTAATACACCATAATTAGTTGTGTCACTTAGGTAGATTTCAGTTTCCATTGGCTAGCATGTTACAACACATTGCCTTAAATATGTTTACTATCAATCAACTGAGGAAAAATTTGTTTGTTCCAGAGCATTATGTTCTTCAGTGGTAACAAAATTTGTTTGAACAAGCTGACTTTTAAGAAAAACTTTCCAGAAGAATGGAGCAACACTTGACAGTATGGTGAGTAAAACTCTGATTGCTGAGTCTTTATTTGTATTGGTGAAGTGTTTCATTACAAATTGGCTATATTTAGCATGTAAAATACAACAGAAAAATCACATTTTACATAGTACATCCAGGCTGGGTAGTCAGGTGGTGAGGGAGGTCCAAGGAGGCAGGTGTTGCATGGATGAGTTCTGAGAAGCACTATAACGGACCTACCAGCTCATCTTAGGTTACTTTGTTCTAGCTCAGTGTATGCTATAGGTGTAGACAAAGTAAACATACCACTGTTTTGTTAGCAAGTTTATTGGAAGATGATTCAAGGTATGTGTGTTTGTGTCATTTTCGTAACATAGTTGGGTTCTATTCCATCCCAAGAGATGGGAGTGTCACAGTGGACACAAACATCAAGTTGTTAAACCTACAGGCATATTTATGTTTCTGCAACAGTATTGGGAGACATGGTAATTTACCCTCTGCAGAACTGATCACACCCTCCATGCAGGGTACTGTAAACAACTGCATCCTTTGGTTCCACATTAGGTGCTGGAGCCCTTGTAAAGTTCATGATGATCTTGGTGGTAATTTTGCAAAGTCCAGGTTGGATCTTTTGAGGACGGAGGAAACTGTTAGTAATGCTCCAGGTGGACATAATGTGTCTACCTTTTATGTCCTGGGTAGAAGACCTAGTTTGTGTATATATCAGCATTCCTCTGACAAATATTGTATGGTGAGGATATCTTTAAAACCGAGAAAAGTATTTCTATATGATTTTGTTTTCTGAGTTCTTCATTACTGAAAATTTTGAGCTCCTGCAAGAACCCAGTTACCACACCTTTCATGGTCTGCAGATCATGTAGTGAAGTAGTGTGGGAGGTTGTCCTTATTGTTGGGCTTCATGTACACAGTCCATATCCTGTTTTGTCAGGCAAACATCCAAGAAAGGTAGTGAATTGGAAATAAATGGTATAAAATACCGACACAATGGCAATATAAACACAAATGCAGTATAATGTGATCCTTTATTGACTATGTTTCGCCCACACAGTGGGCTTTTTCAAGTCACAAACAGAACTACCTGGGGTGGAAGGAACGCGAGTATTTATAGTCCGGCTGAGGTCAGGTGAAGAATGCTGCATCTGATGATGTACCGAGTGGGGTTATAGAGTCTAAAAACTTGGGTAGCTTGGAAAGGAGATTGGATAAGTTTGTGAGCAGACCTTCTACAGTGTTCTTATGTGGGATAGTGATGAAGAAGTTTCTTGGCAAGTGGTTCAGCTATGTTATAGAAGCCACTATTCTGGTTGAAGTTGTCGGATATAGAAATAAGTGATGATTCCAGGATTCTTCGGTATTGAGTGTTGTCTTCTGTGGCGATAAGTCTTGAGTTTCTGTAGTTTATCAAGTGGTTGTGTGAATTACGGTGTTGTACGCAGGCATTCCTTGTGTCGTCAGACCTGCTTGCGTATTGGTGTTCTGAAATACGTGTTTGGAGGTCCCTTGATGTTTCGCCCACGTATAACTTGTTGCAGTCATTACAAGGGATTATGTATACCCCTGCAGAGGATGGAGGCTTGTCCTGCCTACTACTGGTGATGTCCTTGATGGTCGTGGTTGTGGAGGTAGATACTTGGAATGATGTTTTGGCAAAGATGTTGGAAACATGTTTGGCAATGGAGTTAGTGGGAAGGACTATGTATCTCTTCTCGGCAGTGTCTTCTCTGGGTGTGTTGAAGATGTTTAATGCTCGCCGTCTGCAGTCTCTGATGAAGTGACGCTTCAACGTTCAAGCTCTCCAAGACAAGCCCAACCAGGTCGAGCCTTCAATCCAGTTCACACTTGAAGAAGAAGTCGACAACACTCTTCCTTTCCTTGATGTCCTGCTCTGCAAAGCTGACCACGAACTTCGTTTTAAAGTCTATCGAAAACCCACCAACCAAAACGATCTTCTCCACTTCTACTCTCACCACGACACCAAAACCAAACGTGGTGTAATTATAGGCTTCTTCCTGCGTGCACTCAGAATCTGCAGCAACGAGTTCCTTGAGGAAGAATGCACTATAATTGAACAAATATTTTCTAAACTCCACTATCCTCGTCACTTCATCAGAGACTGCAGACGGCGAGCATTAAACATCTTCAACACACCCAGAGAAGACACTGCCGAGAAGAGATACATAGTCCTTCCACTAACTCCATTGCCAAACATGTTTCCAACATCTTTGCCAAAACATCATTCCAAGTATCTACCTCCACAACCACGACCATCAAGGACATCACCAGTAGTAGGCAGGACAAGCCTCCATCCTCTGCAGGGGTATACATAATCCCTTGTAATGACTGCAACAAGTTATACGTGGGCGAAACATCAAGGGACCTCCAAACACGTATTTCAGAACACCAATACGCAAGCAGGTCTGACGACACAAGGAATGCCTGCGTACAACACCGTAATTCACACAACCACTTGATAAACTACAGAAACTCAAGACTTATCGCCACAGAAGACAACACTCAATACCGAAGAATCCTGGAATCATCACTTATTTCTATATCCGACAACTTCAACCAGAATAGTGGCTTCTATAACATAGCTGAACCACTTGCCAAGAAACTTCTTCATCGCTATCCCACATAAGAACACTGTAGAAGGTCTGCTCACAAACTTATCCAATCTCCTTTCCAAGCTACCCAAGTTTTTAGACTCTATAACCCCACTCGGTACATCATCAGATGCAGCATTTTTCACCTGACCTCAGCCGGACTATAAATACTCGCGTTCCTTCCACCCCAGGTAGTTCTGTTTGTGACTTGAAAAAGCCCACTGTGTGGGCGAAACGTAGTCAATAAAGGATCACATACTGCATTTGTGTTTATATTGCCAAAGGTAGTGAATTATTTGGTCCTTCCAAAGTTGATGGTTCACTCTGGTTTTGTAAGTTTTGTATTATCCACATATCTGAGCCAAGCAATATTCCAGGGTATGACACCGTTCAGTCTTTCTCCATATGCTCTAAGTATAGGCTGGCCAATACTACACTTAACAGATATGTCACTGTCAAACCAAACTTTTGTCTGTAATTTTGAGCAAGGAAAAAAATTTAAGCTCACATTGATGAAATCGATGTTATCTGGGGTATGTTAAACAAAGTTAGAGGTATCATGGTTGCATAGAATATGAATGACAAACATGACATTTCCAACATCGTGTTCAGCAGACATACTATATTTCGCATTGATTTAACAGAAACATGTACGAGCTTCATTTTGTTTTTCTTTTTGTACTTGAAACTGCAAACAAAAGTTTTGTTTGGCAGTGGGATCTCTGTTAAGTGCCAACCTTCACTTTTGGCATGAAAAAGATTGAATAGTGTCATACCCCAGCATATTACTTTCCTCAAGATACTAGGCAAAAACCCTTTTTATCCCATACAATATAACCTACAAACCCAGTTTGAATAATCAATCGGTTTTTTTTTGGAAGAACTAGTGATTATCCCTTGGGTTGTTGCCTAACAAAACAGGGCATCAAATATTAGTGATATCAGGAAGCTCGTTTTTTTATAATAAAAAAAGCGCAAACCCCTAGGGTATAGCGAAAGCAGCCCCCAGTAGGAAAACTAACATTATTCACTACATGATTGAAGCGAAGAAAGGTGTGATTAGTTTTTGGGGATCAAAAATTTCAGGAAAGAACTGGGGGGAAAAAAAAGATCACATCAAATTTTTTTCTCATTTTAAAAGGTTCCTCACCATAAAATATTTGTCAGTGGAATGCTTATATACAAAAAATAGGTTTTTTTCCCCCAGGACATAAAAGGTAACACATTATGTCCACCTGGGCATTACTAAGGTTTCCTCCGCCCAAAAGATCCAACCCGGGACTTTGAAAAATTTTCCCCCAAGATCATCATGAATTTAAAAGGGGCCCCCAGCACCTAATGGGAACCAAATCATGCAGTTGTTTAAGTACCCTGCAGGGGGGTGTATCAGTTCTGAAAGGGGGGAAAAATTACCTGTCCCCCAAATACTGTTGCAGAAACATAATATCCCTGTGGGTTTAACAATTTGATTTTTTGTGCCCCTGGGGACACCCCCATCTTTTGGGATGGAATAAAAACCAACATGTTAAAAAATGACACAAACACACATCCCGTCTCCACAAAATTTGCAAACAAACAGTGGTATGTTTGTCTACACCTATAGCATACATTGAGCTAGAACAAAAATAACCCCAAAGACGAGGGTAGGCCGTTATAGTGCTTTTGGAAAAATCATCCATGCAAAACCTGCCTCCTTTGGCCCCTTACCCCCTACTACCCGCCTGGTTTACTATGTAAAAATGTGAGTTTCTGTTGTATTTTACATGCTAAAATATAGCCAATTTGTAGTGAAACTTGTATAAATAAAAAAAAAAAAAAAAAAACTTCAAAATCATTCTTACTTGCTAAGCCTCCTCCTGTTTCCCAATGAAGAAAGATTTGTTACTATTCTTTTAAAAAAAATCTTCGGGGTTGCTAGAAAATTTATTTTAAAATCTGCTTTAAAACCCCTAATTAGTAATTAATTTCAGGGGTAAAAAGAAGATTGAACCCTTAACTGTACATTTTACCCCAAAAAAGAGCTTATAAAAAGTCGCGAGAAATTTTAAACCCGCCGCGATTTTTGGGAGCAGGGAATTGCTGAAGGTGCATGCTGGAGGCAGGCTCCCCTTTGGGTTTCTTTGTTCCCAAAACAATGTGTGCTATGGAAGCCACCAAAATTTAACACCCCAATTTTTCATTTTGGTTGTTTTATTGTAAAAAAATCCAAACACCAACTTTAATCTTGTAATTGAATATTAGTATGGTTTATACTCCCTTTCCCCAGATTACACAATTGTCCCTTGCCATTTTAAAAATTTTGTTCCTGTAGGATGAGGGAAAACCCCAGCATTTCCTGAAATTTGGTCTTTTCACCACGGGAATGTTGTA